ATAGTCAGACAAAAAGCAAACTTCATAAGCTTCACTAAACTGTCCTTTACTGCTGGGGCTAAGGTGTTTGTTTGTTCACGTCTCCCGCCTGCAGAAGTACATTTTCATCCTTCCTAGTTGTCAGTGTATCTCTTTTTTTATATTGGCATAGGAACTGATGAGTTCTCTTTTTTTATAGTCACACTGTCACGGCAACAGACAATGAAGTCCATTTTATTGTCACACTTTTATGCAGTTATCTTTGGTTGCTGTAACCTGGCACCATCTGTGTCTGCATCCTTGTTAATGCTATCCCTTGTCACTGTCACCTGTTGGATTTCAGCCTGCTCAGTCATCTGTATTTGAAACAAAAATGCTTGCCTTAAAATCAACCGATCTCCCCTATTACACCCTTTTTTGGGGGGAGGTAAATCTGTTTATTCTACTTAGTGTTTGGGTGTTCTTCTTATTTTGTATTTCAGGTGAAGCATTACAAAAAACAGGATGAAGAGGAACTAGGTTGGCAGGTTTTAGTGGGAGGGAGGTCACTGTGCGCGTGGAGTGTTGTGACTGGCATTTCTCAAAGGAACTGTGAAGGGAGTGGAGTCTGCTCTCTCGTCTGTGTGTGTGACACATAAATGACCTTTTTGATATTGAACATCTCTTTGTGCTTTCTTTTCCCTGCAGTTGAATGAGAGTTTCCATTAGTGTCTTTAGATCAGATGGGTGCTTTTATGCTTGAGTGGTTTATTTGCTTCAGTAGTTCTTGCTTTTTACTACAGTGTATGTGACTGGAGATTGTATTTGGGGGAAATCACACAGTTTGTGGGAAACTTGAAGGATTTGTTAGCATTTGTGGTGTTTGTACATTTGTGGACTTATAGTGTAACTGTCTGGATTTAAGCAACACTTTTCACTGCTCCTCTTATTCACAAATTCATTGTAGTTTTTCAGGGCCGATCCCATAGTCTCATGTTTTATTCCCTTAAAATACCACAGAATATTTCACTCCAGATGTCTCATATCACAAAATGTTGGATTTTGTAGCTCAACAAGAAAGCCATGCATGATCCAATCAACATTGACCGCTGTATCCTCTTTCTGTTTTTTTCTGCTTCCTTGATAGAAGTGTATGGCCTTGGCTCAAATCAGATGTTCAAAAATGAGTGGCAGTCAGGTTTACCCGTCTATCTGTTTTTCACTTCAGTTGCCTAATGAGATTGATAATCAGCAGTGGCCAACATTTTTGCCTTATTAGATTCCAGTGGCGCACAACTGGATGCTTTCAGCAGAGGAAGTCTGTCGCAGCATGCACCCCGCCATGTAAAGCAGACTCGTTTGAGTTTTTACGTGACTGAATATTTGGTGAACATCGTAGCTGTGAGGTTTCCTACACATTTTAAAGTTTAGACAAAAAGGCTTAAAGGGAAGCAAGCAAAAGCGCTTTTATGTAAATTTATATTTGCACTGTAAAGAATTGCAACAACTTTACACCTTCAAAGGTTTTTGCAAGATCTGTCATAATACTTTTTTGAATCATGTGAGCATTGTAGGTGAAAAACAACTCCACAACTGTCTTTCTTTTGTGGAAATGTTCCATGTAGGTGGAACCCGATCTCTGTTGGGCAAAACCGCCACAAAGTTAAAAAAAACAACAAAAAAAACCATCTGTCCTAAGTCATTTGATGGCAGCCACCGTTAAGATAAAACATACCACACAAAACTCGTAGCCTAAACAGAAAACCTGCTGTTCACAAGAGTTTGATAATGATAGTTACTTTAATGGAAGTTAGAAAATGTGGTCCTATGTTCTATATAATCGGCTGAATATTCTAGCCCTTTAAAGCTTCTGCACATGGTATTAATCTTCTCATCTAACAATAAAACCATAATAGCGTAGTTCCCAAAATGTCAAACTGCAACCATAAACAGTTATTATCTAGATGCTTGTCGACAATACTAGACAGCCTAGATTAGACAGAAACCCATTTGTGAGATGATGGAGATTGTTAAATGGTGAGGACATGGCATTCGGTATGAAGACATGTTGTTCGGTATTCAGCAAAGGGACTGTTACCTGTGTTCTGTCTGAGGTGTAGCCGCTCTTTGACCTCTACTGTTTTCCCATGATGCACATGTCATGGGAACTTTGTGGGCACTCTCGCTGTGTCCCCAGTCATCTTTGTCTCATGATTCTTGTTTTAGGCCAATCATGTGACAGGGTATGCCATGAATAGGAAAGTAAATGGATCTCATGCTGTGATTCATTAACTGCTTTAAAATGGCTGTTTGTTCCTGGTTACAGTCTGGGTGGATGGGTGCTATGGGTTGTTTTTTCTTTTTTTTGTGCACGTATCTGTCTTGGTTTATAAATCAGAAATATCCAATCCAAGAACACGCTTAAATTGTTTTGATTAGAGATTATTTTCAAAGCAAATTTGTGACTTTGATGGAATTTTTTTTATCATAATGTTTAATGTATTATCCAGTTCAAGCATACAAGTGATTTTCCTTCTAACAAATGTCACATGAATCAAATGTTGCTCATGAATCAGTGGCTTCACTGGTCAGGAGTGCTGCAGACCGGAAATTATATTGAGTATTAATTTTGTCTTAGAATAATGTAGCATCAGATGTGTCTCGCGTTTACAGTAAACAGATTTAGCTTTTTACTGTGAAAAGGGTGCCTATTGATAGAATAAGATGGAAAAGCTAGTATGCGCGTGTACACGTGTGCCTGCTTGTCCATGTAAGACTTCCTGCAGCTATAATGAGACACAATTTGGTCGCAGTCTCACATAAATTAATCAAAAAACCAACAATCCGAGGATCAAGAGAGGAAAGATGCCAACAAGTATTCATTGTCCTTCAGTGTGGGCCCATTTTAGTACATGTGTGCTTGTTGACACTTGATAGTTTGCGATGAGTGACTGTGCATGTGTCACTTCCTGGGCTGACCTTGCTGAGTGGAAGCACAGTGCAGTGAAGCCTGACCCTGAAGATCAGGGCACAGTTGCATTAATTAGCCCTGCATGACCCATATGATTTGGACTGTTGTGTGTTGTTAACCTTTCATATATTTTACATACACAGCTTAAGTTGAAAGTTGGAAACTACATTCTCTTCACTTCAACATAGTTGATTCTGGAATTTGTCCTCCAGTGCTTCAATACGTCCAGGATAGCGCCTTAATGCAAAGTATTTCCTGGAGAAGGTCACGCATACATTCTCGTCTGGTCCTTAACCACAGAGGAATGGCAGATGGGAATTCGGTTCATCTGAGTTTGCTTTAAAGTTGGCTTACAGGTGGGGAAAATTTCTGTGCTGATCAGATAATTTGTTTTGTCTTTGATATTTTTGGGTAGTTTTTGTTTGGATTAGCTGCTCTCATTAGCCATGACATGTTGACATTAGCCATTAGCCAAAACAATAGCTATAGTCATGCTGGGGAATGCATCTAATGTTGCGTTTCAAAATGCACTTGTTTCAAGTGGGAGACACTTTATTTAACATGAATTACTGACTTTCTTTCACTTTGTGGGTGCTTGCTTTGCTGTCTTTCATATTTTCCAATGAATTTTTATTTGTTAGTGTTCAACCAGAGAAAACTTTGGTGTTCTGTCCTAAGGCACACAGAAGAAGATTAATCTGAGGTCACTCTTCCAAGTCTACAGCCCCTTTTACTCCCTAGCTTTTAATCCAGCATGAGAGCTGTGTGGTCTTCTGTTGTTGTGTTTGAATTTTTCGTGAACCATTTGTTTGTGTGTTGGCTATGTTTTTATGTGTTTTATTCCTTATGCCACTCTTTGTAAACCTGGTTTTTAAAATATGCTATATAAATAAAATTGATTGGATCACAGAATCATTTTAGCATTACATTTGAATTTTAGTCATGCTTCCTACTTGGAGTATTTAACTCTCAACAATCCACTGTATCCTCACTTTCAAACTACTTCTACGTTCAAGATGAGTTTCTACCCCCATCCAAACCTCGTGCTGTTTACAGAGCAGCACTAAATCCATGGTAGCATCTCCATCTTCTGTCATAAAATTAGTGCTGAAATGTCACCAGGCTGCTTTCCCACTTCACTGCAGCCTTGAGAGTTATCAGCAAGTGTTGGCGCTCACAGAGTAGCTTGCTGTCTGTTGACGACTCCATGAATGTCTTTTAAATGAAATGAGAAACGATCTATTTCCACCTGCATATTTCCTCTCTTTGTGCAGCTTGAATATTCCTGCCTCGTATCTCTCCTTTTAAGCACTTAAGAGTCACGTGACACTGACTCCTTTCAGAATTTGTGGGGGGAAATATTTTATTGATGTTTCATGTGGTCTGGTGTTATACTATACCTTATACAGACCAAGCTTGTGCCATCTAAATATCTTCTGTATCTATACACTCAAGTACACACACAATAGCAAGTGTAGCCTCTGGCATACTCTCCCCTCCACTCTAGCTGACTAGCATTACTGCTGCTCCAATCTGGACAGGCCACCCTGGATTAGCGCTTCGCTGTAATCTGGGACACTGCAGATTATGCTTTTCATCTAATGCCCCCCCACACACTCGCATCACGTGAACAGTCCACACAAATGGGGCCTCTTTTATTTCCTCCTTGGATGACAGGCTTGATGACGGAAAGTGAGGGAGGGAGGGAATTGACAGAGAGACCTGAGAGTATTGAAACAAAGTGTCACGCAATATCACTGCAGCGTGGTCAAGAGTGGTCAGCATCTGAAAACGGCACTGTTTGCGCAAATGGATGCTTGAAGGTTGGACTGAGAAATTACCTTTGGAATTATAGGGAGAGAAGGGCAATGTGTGCGTGCCTGCTGTGACAGCTGCTTGAAGGAACAGGTAACTTGTTAACAGCAAGAAAGGGAAAACTGGCTTCACTGTCATCCTCCGACCTTCTGATCACCTGAAAACCAATGCAGAATCTCCTCCCACGTTCGCATACACACACTTGGATATTGTGTTTCTCTGTCACACACACCACAAGAGTCCAGGACGCTGTACACGAGGAATCGCAGAGCCAGCACGCGCCTGGATCACATGCAGACAATCAGCAGTTGGTTTTTACTTAGGTAGTGGTGGTAGGGAGGTGGTAGTCGCTCTGACAAACAGCACACTACAAGCTATAAACATGGAGCCCCTGGAGGAATACCACTCTCCGTTTGACTTTGAGCAAGGAGTCAACACCAGCTACCTCTACCTCTCCCCGGCCTACAGCGACACACCGCCCAGCTCGCCAGCTGTCAAAAGCAGAGGTAATCATAAGGAGGAAAGGGAGAGGCCGGGCAGAGGGGTGTGTGTGTGTGTGTGTGTGTGTGTGTGTGTGTGTGTGTGTGTGTGTGTGTGTGTGCGCTGGACAGAAAGACAAAACATAGGTTTGGTTCATTGGATGGGAAGAATTTGGGAGAACCCAAAGCTGTGTGTATGTGACCGCAGCTTTCATTTAGTTTACTTCTATCATTTCAGTCTACTTTTTTTAATTTATTTTAGAAAATCATCAATGAGATTCAATTTATGTTTCCATGGTTATGATTTTTCCACAACACAACTTTTCTCCAGTACACCAATGCTTGATTCACCATATGTTTTTATCTATCTTGCCTTTTTGCATTGGCAGTTTTCAAAACACAGTAGGCTAGAGTTGTGACGTGTTTATAGATTTGCACTGAAACTCACACTGATCCGTTGTGTGCAAGTTAGAAAATGGGGATTTCTGTGAATTCTGCGACATGGCTGGGTTTCTGCTCTAGCCTGTATCAACCCTTGTTCCATTGTCTCACAAACAAAATGTAATTTAATAATGTTAAACTTAAGGCCGACCCAGTCCAGCAAATCTGGGATAACTTAAAGGGACTGTGTGTGTTTTTCAGTGGCCTGTATCAGTGAAGTTTCAGATTACAACCAATACACAGACAATCGCAGAGCTTTGCATTTGACTTGTTATAACAAACAAAGACATAATTATGTGCTGGCAGTTTGGTGAGCCTGTTAAAATGTTCCTCTTTTCAGGTATGCTTCAGCTTTGCTTTTCTAATGTGCTGTTATGGATTTGATAGCTACAGAGAGTTTGATGGTCACAAGCAGAACATTTAGTCAAAGAGGAAATGAGCTAAAGCAGAGAGGTAGGGCGGTAATGTGGGTGGGTATGCAGTTTGGTGTAGCAAGCAACCTCTGCCAACACCCACATACAGACTTCTCTTTCTCGCTCTCTCTCCCCTTTGTGTCTGCTTTTTTCTCTCTCCTGCTTTAGGCACCTACTGATGGAAACACACCTCCATGGCATAAATATGCTGCATAGCTACCTCCACAATCAGACATACAGATCTTGCAGTGCTGCTTGCAGGAATGTATTACAAAATTTTACATGGCAGATACAGTAATTCAGGCAAGGTGTCAGCCTACAGAACTTCTTCTCACCTCGAGGAGGTGCTGGACCTTTCACTGTAATCTTACAGAACTTACAGTGTTTGAGGCAGATATAAATTCAATTCCTAAGCAGCAAAATGTAGGTAATCAAAATAAAAGTACTATTTAATTTGAAAGGCAGGGGGATTTGTCATATTAGTAACTGAAGCACAGCCGTTATAACGGGAAGTGTCCATTACACAATTCTGTCACTGTAAGCGTGACTGTGAATGGCACTGCTGTATCACCGGTAATGGGAGAAGAGGGCAAATATAAGACCAGTGAGAGATATGAGGGAGAAAAAGCTTGAAGTGCAGATGAAGTGTAAAGCTTCAGAGGAACAGTGGGGGTGGTTTCGAGGCTGAAGGCTGAAATGAGAATTTCCACCTTATTTCTTTTCACCTAATTACTGTAATGCCCACCTCTATTTCCTCTTTTAAATGATTTACACATTTTGAGTTGGAGCTCATGCATGCCTGGACATATAAATATTTTCACTTGAGACGTTACCAATCAGCATGTCTTATTCCCAAGGTATTAATTAGCGCTAAAACGAGTTATGGCACAGCACAGTCCTGAGCTTATGTTAAAAGGATGAGATTGGAAGGCAGAGAAATGTTATTTCATGAGCAGCTCTCCAGACAGTTATGTGGAAATTCCACTGTAGTCTTCGTGGGAGTGTATATATATTGCTAGGTTCTTGGGATTTCGGTATCTCTGTCCTCGACAAACACACTGTCTCTGTTAAAATGTTTTTTAAGCATTGGGAGTGTTTGGGTGTGACATGAAAGAGAGGAAGGGTGCCAAGTGTTCGGAATGAGGTGGGAGGAGAGGATGTGGGTTTTGTTGAGTGAAGAAAAAGGATATTTGAGGGTCATGGATCATAGAATGGAAAGAGAAGACTTGAGGTGGATGAAGTTGAGGTTTTACACCATTAAATACAAGCAGGGAATATCTGTTTTGGACCTTCAGTGCATGTTTAAAATGCTTTATAAAAAATTGTTAATAGAGCCAGGGTTTGTAAGCCTGATAGACCTAGGAGATTATTGGTCATTTAAAAAAAAAAGATCATTATACAGATTAATATCACCTCGACAGCCACAATGTTATTAAATGTGCAATTTCAAGTGGTTTAGTGTGAAAGATGCAGTTTTTATCAGATCTGTATCTGTAGTGTCTGGATAGTGAGTGACATTTGTTTCCTGTGCAGAATGTACCTTAAAAGAATACTGTAAAACTTTGATTAATAGCCCGGGCTTTTATTTGCCAAAATCACTGACCCTGCCTATATTTGGGACAGGCGCCCTTATGGGACAGGCCTTTAATCCCTCTTGCACAAAACTGAAAAACAGAAGTTAGCAGACAGCGAGCAATGGATTTGACAGTATTCACACCTTGGATTAATTTTTATGAAAAGCTGTTTTGATTCTTTTGATCGGTGGACCCTTATAGAGTAATGGAATAATAATCAAGGAATGGACACATTCTAAGGAGAGCTTCAAAGGTACATTACAGACAGACATGAGAGCGATCTCGTCTAACTCTCGACAAGAAAGCAAACAAGCGTAATACCCAAAATGCAAATATTTCACTCTGAATCCTTGAAATACTAGGGAAGACCAGATGAAAAAGGAAAATGACCTAAGAGACACATTTGCATTTCAGTATTTCAGCTCAGCTGTAGCCCAGAACTACCTCACTCTCTGTTGTCCTTTTGACTGACAGATCCTAACAACTTCGCTTGTGTTCTCTCACGCTGTCTGAGCCCAGGATGTCTCCATCTAGAAAGTTCTTTGTATTATTGATGCGCTGCTGCTCCTGCTGGGCACATCTCTGTCAGAGACGGCTGCATCAAAGACAAGTGTGTGTACACTGTATGCTGAATGTGTGTGTGTGTGTGTGTGTGTGTGTGTGTGTGGAGTGAAAATATGATGTGAGAAGGTGTTTTGCGCAACTGTACAGTAGGAATAAAAGCTTGTGTTTTGGATCCTAAAAAAACTCCCCCTAGACTTCCACCTATCATGAAAAAGCTTATTTAGTAGGCTTCATTTTCCTAGTGCTACTCTCTGATTATCTCTCACTGTCACACAGCAAACATGGGCACATACATGCGAATATGTTTTGTTTTTTTAAAGATGAGATTCTACAAAGATTCTTGTCTCTAACATTTTTTATTTTAACTCCCAGGTTCCCAGCAGCATCCGGACTCAGTCCCAGAGATGGGGGAAGATGCGGTGACGTCTGTGGGCCCTTCTTTGTCTCCCCCTGCCATGACAGAGGAGGAGCGGCAGGAGCTACAAGATGAGTTGGTCAAGGTCAGTCAGGGGATCAGGGATTAAAGAGGTTATGGTTCAGGGAGTCAGAATCAGGTGTTGCAAGTAGTGGAGAAGGGTTTTAAAAGCAACAATATGTGTACACCACTTTACACATTTAAAAGGTAACATCAGACTCAAAAACAGCAGTGGTGAAATGTGTGCTTTTGAGGTCACTCATAGTGCTTTTTATATGCAAAAAGCACTTTCCTTCCATAACAAGATGTTCATTCTATGTTGCTTGTTGCCCCTGATCCATCCTGCTACAGATGTTTGATTACTTGCCCAATTTGTAATTCCCATGAGAGATAATATTTCACCATGATTGTCTTGGTGGGAAACATGGGTGGGTAAATGGAGCATCGTCCTTGTTGTGATTCATTAGAGACTGACATCGGTCGGCTGTTTCTAAAAAGTTAAAACTGTGTCAAATTATAAAATTGGCAGCTTCACTTTACTTTACATGTAGAACAGGCAGTGGGATAGCTACGAAAGATTGTTTTTACAAGTTCTTAGGGTCCAAGGTTACCAAACTGCAAAGATATGTGCTTTAAAATAAAAAGCTGAAAATTTACACATTGGACAAAGGAAGTTGAATGTTTTAGTAGTTGCCGATTCATTTTCTGTCAATCAACTAATAAATTAATTGACTAATTAATTTATTGATGAACTGTTGCAGCTCTATTTGTTAATAAACATGACATTATAATCCACCTTTACACTCTGTATTTGGTTCTGTTGCTTACCTTTAGTTATTCAGTTGAATTAAAATAGATTAAGACAAGACCACAGTTAAACATGCCACATGTACATTTAAAACCTCAACGTGTGTGTGGTGTGTGTGTAGGTTGAGGATGAGATCCTGACTCTGTCCCAAGTGCTGGCAGCCAAGGAGAAGCAGTTGGCGGACATTAAGAGGAAGCTGGGCATCACACCTCTCAATGAGCTGAAACAGAACATCACCAAAACCTGGCAGGAGGTCACCACCTCCACTGCGTAAGTACTTCCCCACCACAGTATGCTGATGTGTGACCCAAGAGCGCACAATACCCAACATATGCATCATGGTGTGCTGATTCACTGCTTGTTTGATAATGTTCAATTATTTTTCTGTATCTAAATGATCTGAAAACTGTCAGCTCTGTGGAGAGAAGCTTCTTTCTCCTCTGAACAATGAGGATAAAGATGCCAGTGCTCTGGACAAGCAGCCTGTGGCCTGTGTGAAACTGTTTGAGTTTTATGTTACAGGAAATGAGCAGAATTCTGATGCTTTCAGGCGTTTTCAAATGAAAAAGACATTGAATTGTTTAGTACTGACCTTGATGCCTCTCTTCGGTCTCTTTTCATCGCTCTCATATCTTTTTGCTGCGCCTACTCTCTCTTTGTCCCCCGTCTCTCTTTCAGCTATAGGAGGACATCTGAAACACTGTCTCAGGCCAGTCTGAAGGCCACAGCGGCGTTCTCCAACGTGGGCTCAGCTATCAGCCGGAAGCTCGAGGATGTCAGGTGAGTCAGACAGGAGGCGTCCAGTTTCTTGTAAAGCAAATTATATTTTGTGAAGCAGCTCATCTTTTATGTGCGGGTTAAACAGAATGTAATGTGCTATTTAGTGAGCTTTACAGCTCTTGGTTGTCAGATTCTGTTTTACATTGGAAAGAACTAGACTAGTGGTTCCCACTGTTTCCAGTCATTGTGCTGAGCTAAGCTAACTGTCTCCTGGCTCCAGCTTTATATTTAATGGAATGCTATGAGCAGGGTCTGAAATTAGCATGCGCCAAATGCTGGTCAGTTGTTGCCGTGGCAGGTAAAATTGGCCACTTTAGCGGACAGCGAAAACGCACAACAGAAAGACACATTGAGATTAGCGTATTGTGGCGATCGCCACACGTGCCTGCATCACCTACAACATGCACACATAAGTCAGCTCAGGATCTGTGGCGGCTTTCAAACCAAACTCACCCTGACGCCCTGTCCGCCCCGAGTGCCAGCCGGTTAGCTTGACAACAGCGTACTGACAGGACTGCAGGTGGTAACTCCGGTGTTGATAGAGAATCACTAAACTTGTCTTTTCCTATACCAACTTTTGTAAACTCAAACTGAGTATTGTCTGTTTGCTTACTGGGATCTAAATGAGGAGGGTTTATACTTTAGATATACTTTATTAATCCCGCAAGGGGATTTTTGTTGAGATATGGCCCTTTGTGTGGAGATTCAAACTAAGATAAGGACCCGTTCATTCAGGGTTGGGCTTTGTATTTCTTGTCATCTGCGGAAGGCTACCTTTGACATACCTGGTTGTGATTTTTAAGTAAGGTGGAATGATTGTCACTTACTGAAAACATAGGTCATTTGTGCATGCAAACATGCATACAGTATAATGGTTTTGGGTAAATATACTGAACATTGAGTGACAACATTATTTACATTAAATGATACCTAAATGAGCAGCAAACAAGCGTATTTCTGAAAATGTTGAATTATTCCTTTAATGTACACTGACACACACAATACAGTATGTTTAATTAAGACTTACATTAAAGCACTATTAAATCTTACTCACACATAATGAATAACAAATTTTCTTAGCTGTCCTGTCAAATGCGTTTGTGGTTTAATATTTGGTGGATGTGGTATGTACATCCCATGAATATTTAGTGTCTTATCTTTCCTACTTTCTTTCCTACCATCTATTAATTATTTATCACATTCTATGGACTAAACTGCAGCCAGAGTCATGTCTAGATGTATGAACGTAGTGATAATGTGTTTGTGTACACAGTTTTGTGTCCTTGTTTTAATTTACTATCCGATTTGATGACGCCATTAAGTACCTCAGTTAATAACCAATTTTACCACTTTAAGTGCCCATTCTAATTACATTACAGTTCAGCTACCAGTTTTCTCTATTATCTTCTCCTTATTCATTAAAAAGGATATATTATGGTAGCCACAGATCTAATGGATTGATTTTCTGTCCTCAAATTCTGCTTCAAAGTGCCAAAAGCATCTACTCTAAAATCTAACAATGCATTATTATTTCCTGGTTAAACAGGGCTTAAAAAACCAAGAACAGATTGTTCCATTTGAGTGAGCGCTCCAGTTGATTCCCCTCAGATCCTAATCTGTCTTCTCCCCCGTCATCCTTCTGTCTGGATTACTGAGCTGCAAACAAGATTATTGGGCCCCTCAAAGCACTAGTGTGCTGAGAAATGCAGCCTCACAGATGAGCCTCCGCACAGAGCTGGTTTGGGGGGGGTAGTGAAGACCGACCTGAAAGGGGTGCAAGTGTGTGTGAACATGCTTTGTGGTTGTGTGTGTATGTTTGATGACAAGATATCCCCCATTTATATAGGGGATTATCACACACCCACTGTGTTAATACACAATCGATCTTAATGAGATGAAGCAGGATTTATAGGATTTATGCACTTAGAATACTCGCTCATTGAACATATATTAGAAGAAATGAGGGTGTGTGCTGTATGTTGTGCTTTCATGTCTATGTGCCTGTCTTTCTTTTCTGTTCTCTTGTTCTTTCTGTGTAAAAACTGTCTGTACTAAGATGACCACTAAAGCCCCCTTTCTTCTCCATAATGCTGCCGGATAGCATTCGCTCATTACAACACTCGGCTAGTATGCCTGCCATGAGGTAAGCTAGTTTGTGTTACTGTGACTGGCACACGTTGGTGCCCTCTGAGCTACAAGTGTTGAATAAAATATGAAAGCGATAAATGCTGCACATTTTATGTGCAACTTGTTTGACTTGTGTACTTTGTGTGTACTTTGAGGTTGCCAAGAGCGACCCTTGCTAAGAGCTACTTAATCAGCTATCAGTGAAGCTGCAGCTTTAATAATCTTGCTCAGACAGATCTCTGCTTCGTCAAAGATGTCTTGCAAAAACTTGTCAAACACACAGAGATAAAAGACGTTTTTGAAACCCGAGGTAGCCTCGATTAGCTGTGAATTTGACAACACCCCCTTTCAGAAACGGCTCTTCTGGTTAGTTTTCTTTTAGAGCTGAAATAGGTTCTGTCCAGTGTACTTTACTGGTTTGAAGAAGTATAATGACACACCGCTGTGTCTCCATCAATTTTCTAACCAACTTTTGCACTCAGTTTGACGAGGTGCAGGTCTGGATGTGTGAGATTAGAGCTGTAAGCAACCTTTATTTTCAATGTCAATGAATCTGTGGATTATTAACTAATAAATGGACTAAATAAGGAATTGTTTGGTCAATAGAATGGCAGGAAATAATGAAAAATGTTTCCTTGAACATAAGGTGATGTCTCGAAATTGCACAATATTACAATCCAAAACCCAAAATGTTCATATTTGAAACCGCTGGATTTTTTGGCATTTTATTATTTATTAAGTGATTAATTGTCTGTCAATAGGCTAATCAAATAATTGTTTCAACTCTGAGATTACCACATCAAATGTTTGTACCAGAACAGGTTTACATGGTTTCATTTTCAAAAAACACCACATTTGTTGTCATACTGCACATTGCTGCAGCTCATCTTTTCACCCATTGTGTTGAATGCTTTGTTGTAGCTACAGAGTGAGGCATCTTACTTTTATAAAATCTTTGTTGGGAGTTGCACATGTGCAGTTCCTAGTTAAGGACTACTAGTCAATCAGAAGCAGAGTAGAGCGGATCCTAACAAGCCGGTAAACATGGCTTCAGTTCAGCTGTGTATGTTCCCCTTACCAGCTTAGCAAATGGACTGGAGCAAGAGTTTCAGTGTGGTGAGTTATTAATTTGTAACAAAAGCGTCTTTCATGTAGGGCTGGGCAATAAAACAATAATGATAATTATCGCAATATATTTTTCCTCAATAACGATATAATAAATGTTCAATATATCGTCAATAAATATTTGGTTTAATTCATATGAATTATGAACACATTAGCACTTAATTTTTCTATTAAAATATTTATTTTGTTGAGGAAAAGGGACTGAAAAAAGATTTGTGAAGTCATCCACTGTGGGCAACAAGTGTTTGTGACATTCTGACCATAAAGAAAAGTTTAACCGCACAATTAACCATCTGGTTTTCACTCGGGAGCAAAAATCAGCCTTTAAACTTGGGAGAAATAATGATTTGACATATATCGTGATAATTATCGATTTCGAATGCTATAAAATGTGCATATCGTGATAACATTTTTGGCCATATTGCCCAGCCCTACTTTCATACGTAAAGTTTTAACCAAGCTCACAGTAACAACTTGATGTCCATTGACTGCCTGGAGCGTAGCTAATGTTTGGAAGGGAGAGGGGAGGCAGCAGGCGGATGTATTTTCACTGTGTGCTGCAGCTCAATGTGTTTTTGAGGGCGTGTCTGATTAGCTGCTAGGCGAGCATTATGACGCGTGTTTTCTTGTGATGTCTCAAGAAAGCAGAAGAAAAGGCTGGAGTACAAACGAGTTGTTTTCAGGCAGTTCAGAGCAGTGTTTTCTGTGGGAGATGGGAACTCCCTTTGGGCTTTTTCACTTTGCAAACCTATTACATTCACAAAAAAGATATAAACTCAAAGGAGAGGGAAAAAGCCAAAAAGCATAATATGACTTCTTTAAAGGGTACACCCAGTCTGACCTATATCTAACAAAAATATCAGAAAATGTGAGCATCCATCAAAAAGACTCTGCAGCTCTCTGTGTTTTTTCTGTAGTTTTCTAAGTCCTGCACTGTTCCTGTCATCCTGTTCATTCTGCATGCTCTTGATTATGTTTTCATGAAAAACAACATGCACATTTTCAGTAGAACCGAAGATAATGGCGAAATTTCTGCTTTGTTTGTGCTGCGTATCAGATAAGATGACCTCTAAAGGTTAGATTACAGTGGATGTCCTGCTCCTTCTTGAAGACGTGTTGTTTGCATCTCGACTTTACCAAACTAATGTCAGAGTGTACAAGCATGCAAGATAAATTCTGATCGGTGAGTCTGTGATCTTGTCACTTATGTCTTTGTCTTTCACAGGAATGCTCCAACTTTCAAGTCATTTGAGGAGAAAGTGGAGACTTTGAAGGTAAAAAGGAATGTCACTAAATTAATTTAGTGCCATTGTATTTGCGGTCATGTGTATTTTACTCAGATGTTCCCATTTAGCAGCTCAGTGAAGCCTATCAACCGATCGATTGATTTGTGCATCAGCCCAACTCCATTGTAAACTCCACAGACGCTTCATTAACTCTCTTCAGTGTCAGTAAAAAGAGGGATTCACCATTGAATGTATTTTTAATCAATGTTTAAAGTGAGACAGTAGGTGCTTTTGACTTCTGCGCAGCACTGACTTAACGTGGCGCATGGTGGATTTAAAATAAGGCATGCTGGTTAGAAATTCGGTCTGACTTTCGCCAGCGCTACAAAACGTCATCGTGTCACATGACAGTGAAACCTTGCAGGAGCAAGGCGGCTGCAGGTGCTTTTCTCCAGCTGCATAAAGTTGGAACCACAGTATTGCCTGGTCTGTATTTTTCTTTGCAAATGCCGCGAGACCAGTCATTTATCTCAGCTCACAGTACGCTCATGCACGAAGAATATGTCCGACTTGACAGCGCCGTTTTTATACCCCGCCCCGGCAGTCGCCTGCAGCTCACGTTAGACTATCAAGTCGGCAAAAGTCAGCCGCAGTAATCTCGAACGCACCTTATGTAACTTTTGCTGAACAGCGACCACTGTGGCCACTACTGACAATTACAGAATAACAGCACATTGGATTTAATTTCCCAATTTTTTCCTGTTCAGTCGCTTTAAAGACCTGACTGAACTAAAATGTTTTCTAACAGTAGCACAAATAGAGAAAATCCATGATTTCCACCATATGATGCTGGTTACACCAGACCAAATATGGCTGTAGCAGCAGAATTCCTCAGTGTATTGAATTTCATAAGGTTGCATTTAATTGCTTATAAATTAAACTTTTCATTTGTAAGAGGAAAATTGTGTTATTTCTTCCTTCAAAAGTTACTCACTCTAAATAGATTGATTTACAAAATAAATTGTAAAGACCTATTTTTTTAATTGAAGGATTTTTGTGTTAATGGATTTTTAAATTACAATCATGCATTTAAAAATTTTAGCTCTGGAAAAAGTGAACCTTGAGTTTGGATTATTTTACCACGGATTTTAATTTGAAATGTAGTGGGGGGGTTTTGATGTTATTGTTTTTTTCCTTCAGACCAAGATGACTCCATCTGTGTCCGGTAATTCCGATGACAAGGACAGCAGCAGTCTCACCACTCCTGAGTCTTTGCTCGATCAGCCTGAAGACTCACCCCCCCAGGAGACGCCAATGAACTGAGACCTGCCTAACTCCCTCCTGACCTCCCAGGGGCCCCTCCCTTGACCTTCTAACCCCTGGACCGTCAACACTCCCTCTAAACTCTTGTTTGCCAGTCTCCCTTTATTGGAAACAAATGACTTACCCCAGCCTTCCTTGTGATCTAATTGTCTGTTCTTTTTGTCTGACACGTGCGCTCACTTGTTAACCGGTGTGGAAACAGAAAGCGTGGGGTGGGTGCAGACATGTGGTCTTGTGCTGATGGTATAGTTTTGAGTCCATTCTGGCTCACTGTGGGAGAAATCCTCCCTGCTGTAGGACTTTTCTTTTCTCCTTTTACTTTTCCTGCTGCACTCCTTTCTTCGCCTATGCCTAACAGCAAAGCTCAGATGCCAAACATGCTCCTAGTTTATTTTTTCTTTATCAAATTAACAACTTTTCACATTTTACAATTTGTTTGAGTGTAGATAATTGCACAAATATAGAAGGATTTACACTTACAAAGTTGATTAGAGTAAGACTTATCCTCTTTTTATGTGACCCAGGCAGGTGTTGGCTTATTGCTTCTGCATGGCTCTTAATTTATGTTGGAGTTGTTATTATTACAATCACTTGTTTTGTCTGCCTCCATTTGGAGGACATTCTTTGTTTACTATGGGTTGCCATTTTTGGGCCAATCTGATTTCCGTTTTCTTCATTATATACATTTTAGAACACCACAATCAGAAAGTAGTCTAACACTGTGTTAAGAATATGAATGTATGTAGGTACAACACTCTGTTTAATTCAACCCACGGTACTGAGCTGCTGCTGTGTGTCATGTCCAACCCCAAAGCTGGTATTTCCAAACACACTTCAGAATAAAAACCATCCCCTTTTCCATTGTTAAGAGTCTGTCAGACAATGATCTACACGCTTAGATAGTTGCTGAAGAACGGCCAAGATCAGCATAACAGAGCAAACACGCAGGCAGGGTTCAGCCTTGACCCGAGGTGAGAGTGAAATAAACGTCTCTTTCAGAGCCAGGGTCAATATTTGAACGCTTGTCCATTGTTTCTGGGCTGGAGGTAACACCTAGCCTCCTTATCTGAAATACAGATAAAAGCAAGGCAAGAGACGACACTGGATGTTATTTTATACACTGATACAGGATAATAATGTAGAAGAGTAGGTTTACCTTAACTTTACTCTAATGTGCAATTTTCTTGTTTTAGCCATGTGGCTCTGTGGGAATTCTAATAACTTTGTGTTTACTGCTAATTAACAAATGTTAGTATGTGAACTGGCTAAGATGGTACATTCAACATGGTAAACATTGTCTGCTTACTATCGTGTTAGCATTTAGCTCAAAGCACCACAGTGCCTAAGTGCAGCCTCACAAAGCTGCTAGCATGGCAGTAGTCTACTGAGTCTTTTTGTTTTGAGGAGTTTCTAGGAAATATCACAAAATGATCAAAGTCTGCTTTTTTTATAGTCTCTGCAAACTGCAGGATTATATACAGTGTTTTCTGAAAATACTGCTTTCATACAGACCAAACACCCTTTCTAAATGAAGTTAAATATATGAATATGGGTAGTGTCAGTGGTACATTTTCAATCACAGAACAAATCTCTTGAGTTAGCTTTACAATCCCATTCTGCTTTATGATTATATCCTAGAAACTATTAAACTACTGAACAAGTTACTCTCATCTGACTAATATGCACATATCTACTGATTGAGGTTGAATAAAACTTGAAGGGCAAATGGAGCCATTCCGAACACAGCTAAGACTTCCACACACATTTCTGACACTTCCATGCTTTGGCAGTACCAGCCTGGTACAAGTCTGCTAGTGGACGACTGGCTAAACATGAATGTGAGTCATTAGTAATGGATCATGTCCTGGGAGAACACCACATGAAAATAGAGGGTTTTTTTCTGGTGTTAGGGTTGTTTTTTTTTAACCAACCATGACACAACAGTATTTCCTATTCTGAGTTAACATTAATGGATTTTTAACAGTACTCCTCATTCAACATCACTTTCCAGCCGTGATCTATTTCACTGAGAGAAGTCCTTACAGCCTTTCATCTCAGACATGAGGGTTTATTTGTATTTAGTCACACACATAACACACACACTGGATTTGTTTGTTCTTTAATTGGAACCATGGAGTGAAGAAATGTACTCAAATTAAAAATACCTCTGAAATAACCTTATTCTGAATTAACTGTCTTTCTGTAACAAGGAGGGGGTGGGAATGGGAAATCCATTCGACTGCAAGGGGAGTTCCCCAAGTGCAACATACCGATGTGTTTGAAGGATGGGACGTTTTGTGTCACTGTGTCTAAAATGGGAAAACGTATTTGAATTAACACACACATGGGCTGCTGTACCCCATTTGAACACAAGAGGGCAGCCAAGAACAGACGTAACACCTGATGGCTTTATTTTTCTCAATCCAGACCAGATCAGACCAGATTGCCTGGAGACAAGAATGACTTCTGCTGCTCAACTGACTCATATAACTGGTGCCTATTAGATTTAGTAGATAGCTCCCTAGAAGCCCAGTTCCAGGAGGATACTGAGACGAAAAGAGTCCCATAATGTTTTTTTTATCTGAGTCTACTAATTTGCCAAATTTTAAACAGTTTGGGGATTAAATCTAAACTTGAGGTAGTTGAAGGGTTGTTTGCATATGTTTTTATTTTCAACAAACTTTGTTGATTAGTTACCAACTTATATCATACTGTAAAAGAAGAGTGAGTAAGGCCTTTAGGGAAATGCCAACATCCTGTTTAAAGTGGTGACAAAAGCAGAAGTATACATTTAGATTTCAATGTAATAATGTGGTTTATTTGTGGCAGGGACAAGTCTGTTACTTGTAGTTTAACAGGGGAAGTCTTTTGTAAATCCACCATGTAATGTAGAAAAAGGTTTCTCGCGTTCATAGAGAAGAGTGGGGGGGAAATCAAACAGTTGTATTACAAAAATTGAGAACCCTTTTCCTGTAATACATTAATTCCTCTTGAAGTGTAATTTGAGTCTTAGTTTTCAACCCGATTTGTGCACTTTTATTAAGACATGAATTGTAATAGACAGAAATATTCTGTCAAAGGTACAAGTCCTGCATTGAAAATCTTACATATGTATTATCAGCAAAATATACTTAAGAGTATCAAAATAAAAGTACTCATTAGGCAACAGAATGATCTGTCTGTGTTATATTATTCTGTATTATTGGATTATGATTAATGATACATTACTATGTAAGGAGCTTGTTAACTAATTAATATACTGTTAATTCGTAAATATGCATCATCTTTTATAAACTGATCACCTGTTTTGTATATAATATCTGAAAGGTAACTACATCTGTCAAGTAAATGTTGTAGAGTAAAAAGTACAATATTTGCTTCAGAAATGTAAATAGAAGTAAAAAGTAGCAGAACATTGAAATACTCAAGTGAAGTACAAGTAACTCTAAAGTGTTCTTAAATACAGTACTGTACTTCCCATTACTGGAGAGGCTAACTTGGTACAGTCATAAGAAGAGTAACGTAAAGTAAAAGAGTGTATGTTTTAAAATGTTAGTGGGCAAAGTGTTTTTTCTTTGAACTTAACAGAGATGAGACACAGTCACAGCGGCTAACAAAAAGCTGCCAAAAAATCTTTATTCAGTTATACCTAGATGCCTCCTTCCAGTCACACAGATCACTCTGGAGAAGGTCTGGACTGCACAGTCAAACAACAACAGCACCAGAACAGAATTTGTCAGGAAACAACATTTACAACGAGAACAAAGGCAGTTTCTACACACAGAGAAGAAAAAAACTGGTACAAGAGTTAACAGTCAGTGTGTATCGATTCTTCTTCTTTGAGAAAAATCATCACATATTCATAGAATTCATTTTATTATATTGTGGAAAAGAATATAAGAAAACATCATTGGTGCAACAGAGTGTACTATTTGTGACAGAACAGATACATATTGCAAGTGCTTTGTGTGGTGTGTTGTGTTAACAATAAAGAAAGGTATACATAGACTGATTGTGTGACACTTGACAACTGTCTCGTTGTGTCATATGATTAGTGAGTAGGCCTTGTTTTATGTGCAGAAAGAGAACATTCAGTTCAAACATGGCTTTTTATGTGTGTGTGAGTTTAGAAGGCAAAAAAACGTCCCAAAATGACTTTCCACCACCCCATACAACGAGAGTGTACACACACTTTGATGTACAGTGTGTTTTTGGAATTGTTTTTATTCACTTTCTTGTCGAGAGTTAAATGAGAGTCTACTACTAACACTAGTCTTATGTACGTTAAGTATGAAGGTACAAGCAGCAGATGTTAGCTAAGTTTAGCACAAAGAGTGGAACTAGCTAACCTGGCTCTGTCCTACCAGCTCCGCTAAAGCTCACATTAATTCATTTAGCTGACCAAAGTGACTTACAATATACATGTCAGAGGTCGCACGCCTCTGGAGCAACTAGTGTCTTGCTCAGGGACACATTAGTAGATGGGTTATAGTGGGGAGTTGAACCTGGGTCTCTCACACTAAAGGCACGCGTCTTATCCATTGCGCCACCCTGTCGCCTTTATTGTTTGGTCAGGCACAGTACCTCCCTTACATTGTGCTAAACTAAGCTAACCAGCTGATGCAAGACAAATAGACCAGACTCAAAATTGTTACATTTATAGATGCCGGTAGGCCAATTTTGTTACCACTAGACAGAACCAGGCCAGCTGTTTCCCCATTTCCAGTCTTTGTGCAAAACTAATCTAATCTGCTGCTGGCTATAGCTTCATTTTTAATGTACAAAAATGAGAGTGGTACCAGACTTCTCTCAACTAACTCTCAGCAAAAAAAACACCAGATAGACCAGTTAAGAGATACTGGTAGGCAAATGTTTAAGCCAACCACATCCTTGCTGTAACTTCATATTGAACGCCCAAACACAAGAGTGGTATCTCTGCAAGAACGTGAATAAGCATATCTCCCCAAATTTCAAACCATTCATTTAAAATTCAACCCCTGTGCAAAGGGCAGGGAGTCATTTGTGACTTAATCTACAATATCGACACAAAACGAGGATCATGCAATAGTGCATTTTGCCATAATCAGTCCCCATTTCTTCTTCTGGTGAAACTTTGAACTTTGTGACCTCTGGCTTGGAAGCACTTCTGTCGTGGACAGCCAGAATCTGTCTATCCTCAAATTTGTTGGCTCTCTCAAGCCAGATCCTCCTGTTGCAGCCACAGAAATCCCCGTCTTGCATTTTTCGGAAGTAAAAAGCTATGTTGCTTGTATAAAACTGATCCATATGTGCCTCTTTCTTCCTCCCCACCCTCCCTCCTGCGTTGAACCTCCTGCAAACTCAAAGCAGAAGGAAGTCACTGATTTCATGGACGGCAACGATTCTTATCAACAGAGGTCACAGATGGAGCCTGTGTACATGTGCTGTTCCTCATCACCGTCATAAATTATTCAATGACTCGGACACACATGTACACATAAACAGCTCCCTGCTCTTCACTGAGACGGCAAACATCTTGCGTGAGCTTGACTCCCTGATGCTTTAGATTCCTCTGCACCTCAACCTGCTGCTCAAACATCTCAAAGGAGCAGCCTGGGTCAGCATGACTACAATCACTGCATCGTGACAGTGAGCTTAAACCAGATGTGACTGCGTGTTTAACATCATAAACCCTTTACTGTGAACTCACATTACATTACACATCTACATTTCATTTTGGTCATCTGATGGAGGGTATGATAACGGAGCACACAAGCTTTTGGCTAGTGTGAAAAGCAGCAGTGGGAGGTTTATTATGCCATGTCAATGTACCAGTTGATAATGCATGAGGTATGACAGCTTGCACACTGAAATGTGTACATTTATGGCTGCAGGAATGGCTTGATTAGGGAGTAGAGGTGCACACAAACCAAGCACACACACACACAAAGTAAGAACAGTAAGTATTTGTGCTCACACTTTCCTCAAACAAACACACAAACAAACAGGAGGAGGTGTAAATGCTACATTGAGCAGATGGGACATACCTCGGGCGGTCATCTGAAACACACACTCCATCATCTCACGCTGCACATACACACATTTGATGCTAACAGCGTTTGGACCAGCGGCCTGGTGAGACGCGAGCAGCTTCCACCAGCGAGCTCTTCACATCATCACAGGATGAGACCTGAAGCTACGGGGACATATGTTGAACAGCATGGGCCCATATTGCCCCAATGACATGATCTAACACATTTGGCTGTCACACCTCTTTCACTCACATTGTGCCTGAGTATGTGTTTTTATGTGTGTGTGTGCGCACAGAAGGGTCTGATTTGTGTAATACCAGTTTATGCATGAGAGCTGTCAAAGAAGTCCTGCCTCAAAGGATATTTAAGAAAAATAAAAACACAGGCGATAAATGTTTGCAGCTACGTATTAATAAGTTCCGCTTGATAAATGATGCAGACTGATGTAAATGTTGCAGTTGCTTGAAAGGTGGATGGGGGTGGGTGGGTGGGGATCACCATCTTGTCTCATTCATCCTGCAGTCATGAGACACCAGGCTCATGAAAACATACTGTCACTCCTGATGACCCAGAGGAAGTACACCTGCGGGACCCATCCTGGAGCTCATCCCATAGTTTTAAACCAGCTCCACATAAATATTCACCAAGCAGAGTGTTGAGGACAGGTCTGGGAAACAAGTATTCCTATTAGAGCTGACTGGGTTTGAGATATCACAGTACTCTGGTATTAAATAATTCCTCAACCTTCGCGAAAATGAAGCTTTGTCCTGCGGGGGTGTTGTTTCAGGATCAGAAATTTGAGGTACATGATAATGATTAGAGAAGACAAATTTAGGGAGATTTGTTTTTGCTCTTTGTAGTGCATGAAAGTGTCCTCTGGCGCCTGCCAACATCTGCAAACTGTTTCAAATATTTCCCCCTCTTGTCTCACACTGACACTTCACCTGAATGCCCCATAACAACAGTATGGAGAAAAGATAGATGAGAAGATCAATACCACTCTCATATCTGTAGAGGATATATGTAACTCGAGCCAGCAGCCAGTTAGCTTAGTGCAAAGACTGAAAAGAGGTGAAACAGCTAGCCTGGCTCTGTGACATAATTTGCCTATCACCACCTCTAAAGCTTACCAACTAACATGTTAATTATTGTTTGTTTAATCCATTTAAAATAGTGTAAAATGTATATTTTACTATTTCTTGGCTGGGACCAGTTACTTCCCGGAGTTGCCGCTAGTGTTCTAGCAACTGCTCAGAGCTAAGAAATAGTTTAGCACAATATGGTGTTGATTTTACACTTTGTTTTTTGTACGGACTAAACAAACAAGATATAATGTCTTATGTGCTTGGTAGGTGGATTAGGACAATTTGCTAAACAGTCTAGCTGTTTCCCCCAGTCTTTATGCTAAGTTAAGCTAACTAGCTACTGGCTGTGGCTTCATATTTATCGTACAGATGTGAAAGTGGTATTAATCTCATCTAACTCTCCACAAGAAAGCTAAAGTGCATTCACCCAAATGTCAAACTATTCCTTGAAACGTCCTCATGTACAAAATGTACTTTGATAGTGAACCAAAAGCTGATCTGGCCCTGTTTATGAAATGACATCTTGAGCATGGCTTCGCCTCCGCACAGAAATAGTATCCCCCTGTATCCCCTGTTTATGTCAACACCACAAGGCAGTGTTAACATTTTACAACCCACTGTGTCACCTAATACACTGTCCATGAACAGATCTGGAAAAGGACAATGTGTTGCATCTACAATTTAGTTTACAGTCTGGAAACACATATCAAACATTTACATTTAGAAGCTTCAAAAGGATATAAAACGCAACACACTTTGCCGGCCATGTCAGGGTGGAGAGCAGTCATTGCCAAGTCAAGTCTTTGTATAGGCCTACATACGTTTTTACACTAATAAGTGCTATAAAATGATTTAGTGAATTGTTTTTAAAATAATCACTGTATTTAGTGACCTTGTGGTTAGCTCTTGATAGGCCGCAACAAAGTTGTGTTATACTGCGTGTCGTATTAGCAATGCATGCTTACACAGGCTTCTCAATGTTTGACAAGTACCATGTGATTTTGGCCTCATCTGATCACACACCGATGAAAAATATCCTCTTGAAACTCAGTGGAGCTAGCAGAGGGGCCAGGGCTGCAGGTGGAAGATGCACAACTGAGACTTCGCACTTCAGACTTCTTCATAACTGCAGCTGGCACTGTTCCCATCACTGCAACACTCACTGTGAGATGCAGGGTTTAGCGCACAGCCTCTTCTAGTCTTCCACAAGCATCCTGCTAGACTCTCCCAGGACCAGCTAACTGTCAATACACACACACATACAACCAGGATGGAGAGCGCTCCACCCAGACTGTGACAAATTGGTTCGTGCCAGCAGGGAATCACAGGTACTTTCAACTCTCTTGTATAGATTTAAAAACCCCAACATAGCGTGCAGTTTAAATACAATAAAAGTATACTGAGGCAACCCGGGCTGCTCCCAACCCCTGTCATGGATGCCAAAGCACACATAGAGCACATATAATATAAAGTCATGTATCTCATAATTTCCTTATTTGCATGCACATGCGGTATTAAAAATACAGAGCATACAGTATATATAGTGTTTGAAAAAAAGAGTGTAAAAATCCAGTGCGACAGTCATTGAGTTCTTGAGGTTTACAAGATTGTAATCAGATAAAACAGCCAGTGAGATGGTCCAGTTTAAAGAGAGGGCGGCTCAGCACTCTCTGTGTTGCATATTTAAGTTCAAACTGAAGGAGCTGCGGCAGAAATACCCATTAATGTTTAGTTAGTTTAGTCATATTAAGAATAATTAAATCCAATAATAGAATTATTTATTAATTTAGCCCGATGAGTGTTTTTTCTGGCCACCTATAATTATTCACCCACCTTCACACAAAGCAAGTGATACTTTCTCAGTTTCCTGTGGAAATCTCAGCTCACTGCGCTAAAAATGGGATCATCTCACCGACAGTTTCATATGCTGTTTGCTGAATGAGGCTTCCTTGATTTCCCAAACATTTCTAGATTCACAACAGCGATTCTTCACACTGACATACATTTATGTACAAGCCCTTGTACAAAAGGGAGAGAGGAGTCATGTTTGGGAAAACAAAGACAGAAAAATAACAGACAACCCCCCACCCCAACACACTGAAACACATCATTATCATAAGTTCAGATCAAAAACTAGTTTATAAGTCATGGCAAAGAGTAGAAAAGTCACTCTTAGACCTTGCAACATCTTTCTAGAACCAAGAAAGGGCCAAAAGGGCCTCTTAACGCAGCTCAAAATGACCTTTCTTTGTATCACAAATCTTTGAATTATAGATATAGAAAGCAGAACTCGCAGACTAGCCAGCACCAGATACATTCCACAATCGCCGCTGTGGCCCTGCATATCACAGCAACACACATTACCCTATGTTTCTAGCCATAACGCGGTGACTGCTTAGGTCCACTCTAGAAACTCAAAGCTCATCAAGGCACATTCAGGACTCCTATTTTCCTCCAAAGATAACCATAATGGGGGATGAAGCAGCTCCTGGAAACAGTCTAAGGACTTAATTATTAAAGTTTGAACCCAAAAAACAAAAACAAAGTGTTTGCAGAAGCCATTTCATCCACTTTTCAACCTGTCCTTTTTCACATTCTTGAATGAATTACTGATTACTGAAGGAAGGAGGGACCCTCCTCTTTTCATTGACAACACCGCCCTGCCCTGGCTCTGGCATTGGATAGACGCATAAGCCTGCCTGTCAGCATGGTTGCCATGGAAACTAGTCCTACAGTGGTGGGATGTGGACGCTTTGAAGACACGCTGCTACTCGATCTATATTTAGGGTCATGCAAAGCTAGGACTACTCAGGTGCACTCAACAGCACACACTGTCAATTTCTGTGCTTTCAAATACAATTTAAAATAAGTCTGATAACCTTTCCAGTAATTTTCACATGGCTTCTGACTCCACAGAGTGCCACCTGCTGTCAGGCCATTGTTGAGTGGTAATACTGCAGAACACAGGAGGGTCTGCGTGAAGGAGCTGCAGGCCAGCGGGGCAGATAACAAACCATGTGGGCATCCGCTCACATGCTTTAAATCACCTGCTATAGAAATGGGTGGCCAGCTAATCTAGAAAGCGCCTCCTGACCAAAGGCAAATCTCACACTTTTACTTCTGACAGTCCAAACAGAAATGGAAATAAGAAGAAATTTTGAGAGTATTGATGTTAGAGATATCACATAAATATACTGATACACACCGATACTGTAGCTTAGATATACTGTACTGCAGCTTAATCAGTATATATTGTAGCATATATTGACCTATACTTGGATGATAACGGTATAATAAGCGTCAGCATTTTGTCACAAATAAGTCTCGTCATGTATGAAATATTGATCTCTGTAAGGATCATACATAAACCAGGGATGCTTATAAAACTGTCAACACATGAACTGCTGTTAAAGCCATCACTGCTCAGTAGCTAAGCTGGACAACCGTGCATGTGTGTGGTGTGGACATATACACTTAGGGTCCCTCATAACTCACAAGACTTGATTTTTATACCATCCGTAAGCAGAATAATCTTGTTTTATTCAGCTAATAAATCACAGCTGAACGCTCAGCCCTAATAGGTGGCGGCAGCAGAGGGGGTAAACACACTAGAGAACAAAAGCCAGAACAGCCACTGCTGCTCCATTTGAAGGTGGGGGGAAGTCCCCATATGTATTCCTATTACTCTCAGTAGAGCAACAAGACCGCCTATAGTGGCTCTTTGATACCATCTTTAATTCTGCTGTGCGAACACATTTATAATGGCAGCCCGTTTCTGAGCTTGTGTTTAGCTGCCCACTCCCCTCAGGTTGCAGGGCTGAGCGCTCACTTCTGCTCTAATATGAATAAGTTAGATGATCGCATCAGGAGGATGATGCCATATGGCATGTTTGGCATGATTAGGGTGGCAATTTGGGAGTACAAATATGAGGCTTGATCCCTTCTTTGCCTGCCAGTTTTGTCCAAAAGGAATCAAATTATCCAATATCCCTAACATCTCTACATGTTTATCCATTAGGTGCAAATTTAAAGTTCTAGACTGCTAAGAGTCTGTGCTGTCGGTCAAAACGACAATTTGTTTCATTTTTGCATCATTTTGGGTATGAATGCAACTATAGGTGACTTTGTGTCAAGCTTAAAAGCTAGTTTGTCATGTTTAATGTGGAATATAGAAAAAGAAACGGATGTTACCTGACAAAACAATCTCAACCAAGGGCTCTTTTACTCACTCCTTCTGGAGTTTTTAAGCTCATGACATGGTCTTCATCAGCAGATTGGGTTTGCTCAGTTGTAATGAAATGAATGAAATATCTAAGTTCCATGACAACTGATATAACAATCTATTGATGAAGACCCCAGTACAAGTGAGTAAATGGACCTCGAGCTGAAATAGTTCAGTCAACCACTGCTTTTAAGCTCAAGAATAAACAGTAAGTTTGAGTTTTTACAAATTTTGTTGTTTGGGGTTTAATGAAAGCACTCCTCTGGTCGCACATAAAAAATTCTTATGTTTGTAGAAATATAATAAAAAATGCACTAATTTCATATTCAGTGAATTTCATCCATTTTGCTTTTACCTACAGGGCTCAACTCGACAAATGGGGAGACAGTAATGAGCACAAGTCACCAAAACAAAGCCAAAGTCAAAACTGACGAGGAAGCAGGAGAGAGAACAGAGGCTTCAGCTAATTTGTGGCTGGACACTTGTTAGACTTGAGGCAGGGTGTTTTTATTTTCATGTTCTACAGCATAACATTGTGTACAAAATGGAGTTAATATGATCACATGGGAGAAACAGCACTGCATGGGAATATAGCACCTCCATTTCTGCCCCGCCGAGACCACAGCACCAGTATGTATAGTATGCGAAGACGGACCTGGGCTGAGTGTCTGTGAAAGCCCCTTCATGCTAAGGCCGTCTCTGTGCTGCTGGCAGTGAATGGTTCTCAGTACAACGATGCCGGCCAGGCCACAGTCCACAAACAAATCCCCTGAGTTCCTCACTGATCTACGAGGAGATGGACAGGTTTGAGAAATATGGCAGCAAAAATCATCATTTGGATTCACCCTAAACAAGGGTGTGAGATTAGCTTATTTTGGCCAAATTACATTACTAGCCATTTGATCGACGCGACACTGACCTAGAATCAGCATCAAGAGAGAGCTTCTTTTAAAATTAGCTGCCTGCAGATGCTGCCATTTAAATATCCAGTCTTGCCAAGACCTCTGAATTGTCTGAACTACTGTAGGGACTTGTTCGTGGACAGAATCTGATTGGTTGCTAGATTTTTCCATATCAATAGAGGAGACGGTCCGAACACACACATGAAGCACCGCAACGATGGAAAATTGCCAAAGTGTGTTTGTCAGGAGCCTGGCAGTGGACTCGACCTGCACACACTCTGACAGGGATATGCCACAGGACATTAGATAAAAGCTGTGTAACTTGGGGGGAGTGAGAGTGATGCTTCAGGGATAGGGGGGGGACATCGCAGAGCACCGCGCTTCAGCGGCAACCCGCATACTTTGCCTGGGGCTCCTTCACATTCACACACGGGACCATGTGACCGCTCACATGAGCGCAAACGCACCAAGATGTCAATCAAACTAATTGCTAGTGGGGCTACGTCACACCAGGAGAATTGGAAATAAGATAAAGATTTTAATCAACTGTGGTTTTCGACGTGCTTAGCAGCAGGGAGCGTGGCGTGAAGGAGCTCCAGGCGGGAGCGTGTGGGTCACACCTCACTGAAAAGAGCATAACAAGCTTGGCTTGTGGTAAGAATTATTCCCGGGCTCCCTCCTACAGTTACAATAGCAACAAACATTTCCTTCAGCAGAACATGAAAACAAAATTCATACACAGTATTTATATTCATATGAAAAAAGAAAAAAACCCCAGCCAAATCAATATCTGGTTTGCTTTGAACCTAAATTCCAACAAGTTTTTTCTTTACGTATATATAGATTTGTCTTTTCTTAAACAATAATACGTTCACATAATACAATGGCGAATCAGTTTTGAGATAATCTAAATATTTCTTACTGAAACATCAATGTAATGACATAGAAGAAGCACAATGATTTTTTCAAAAGAGTGACTTTAAGGCTATCTCTATATTCAAAACAACAGTAGCCCGACAGGTTGAACGGTACATTATGAAATGCTATACTTGAACCTGTCTTGTTCGTAAGGTGGCGGATGTAATGACCAAGGCAACTGGCCATAAACATGGAGCTTTGAGAAAATACAAGAACTACACATATATACATGAACAGACAAAGAAAAATAATAGACATAATAGAAACAGTTTAGCAAACAAAACATAGCTACGATTTTCAGGTGCGCAAGTACTGTTAAATGAGCGAGCTTGTGAGTTTATTAGCTGGTGTTGGTTTTGAATAATTCTGGTGTTAAATGATCCTGTGCGTGTGACCGAAACGACAATAAAAATTTCAGCGTGCATTTAAACAAATTTCCTAGAATGCAGAGTAAATGCAGAATCACAATGTGCCTGTTGGCAGAAACATTTGTCTCAACTTAAACTCTGGACGTTTCTATAAATTTCAGTACATTGTAATAAAGTAGGACGCAGCCCCAGGTGACAAAAGAGTTGGTTAGTTTACCACTACAAAGTGAACATCTGTAAACTATTTGGCCATGTGATTTGTTTCCTGCCTTTGAGACCAACAAGGAGGCTGGAATTCAAATGAACACATTCAAATGACAAATCAGATAACCGCATTATTTTTACCAATCACACTCTCCATACCTTGTCAGTTACAAGGTTACTTGCCGATCCCTCTTACGAAAGCTTGAGCCAAAGCTTTGCTTACATATTGCCAAGTGACTGAAGAGTCCAGTGCGGATTAAACAACAAAGTAGTGATCTAATCAAGTGCTTATACCTTATACCCTTCTCCAAAACTCTTAGAGCAAATAATGGTTCAAAAAAGGGGGAAGTGTCCACACCTGGTCAACTATTAAGATTTTTTTTTTTATAACATTTGGAAATTAAAAGGTCTAGTGGAACATAGAAACATTTTCAATTTTCTAGACGTAACCACAAATGTACCAAGTGCTTTAATACACACATGCAGTGCAAGTGCCTCACTTTTGGTTTTAAGCCCTCCCCCTTTGGTTAACATATCACCAAGATGCGGGTCACGTAATTAAACACAAATATATTTTGTTCCCTTTGGGAAGATGTAAAAGCTTGTTGAGAAGGAGGGCAATTTGTCTCTCTGTATGTGGTGAAAGATGTTACATTTATCTTTTTATGGCCTTGCACGCTGCTGACTTCATGCTTCCAGTGCTGTAAGGAAGGTCTTTTAAACACACTTTCTTTAGCAGGTAGAAGGTAAACAGTACGGAAGCTTAACGTGTTCACTTGAGGAAAAAAAAAAGTTTGCCCTGTTTTTCCTGAATTAATGAGATTATTATCTCATCTTCCAAGAAACGTTTGCATGAAAAAATAAACTCTGCTCTTTTTTTCTGAATTAACTAGTTACTTCAAAATCCTACAAGAAGCTCTCACCTGCATGGAGTATGGTTGCTGCTGCTAATCAGCATCATTTGTTTCTCCATGAAAAAAATTCTCAGAATTCTGACATAATCTCATTAAATCAGAAAAAAAAAAATATCCCCCTCAAGTGAATGCATTACACTTCCATTAAACAGTCTTGGTTTCGCAAAAACAAACAAACAAACAAAAAAAATACATCAACAACAGTAAACATGGCACCTTAACAAAAACCAAAAACATAAAGAAAAAGATAAAAAAAGTTTTTGGTTGTAAAGTTGTCATGTATAATGAAAGAGAGAAGCTATTGAGATAGTGCTGTATACAGTATAACCCCATGGTTTAGCTGCTGGTTTTTGCTTTCTTTAGAATCACATCCCTGATAAAACAAAGAAAATGAATCAACTGGATAAAAAAGTGACATGGAAAACACTTCCTGTCTGCTTTGATTGTGTGTTTGTTTGTGTGTGTGTGTAAATGCTGCTGCGGTTTTTATGTGTAATGAGACGGCCAATCTGCTTTCCCTGACTGTAAATTCTTTTTTGCATTGATCATTCACCTTGTGTGTCTCTATTCCTCCCGTTCTTTGTACATATCAACCTGCTCTTCCCGGCTCTGCCATATATTCCCATGGGGCTGTCAGGAGTGAAGAGCAGGTGAGGAACTGGGAGAGGCTGTGATGTTGGTGATAGCAGATCACCTCAAAAAAGTCCAGAAATAAAACGAGATGAACAAGTTGAAGGAAGAACAAAAACTGCAAGCTTTACCTCCATGCTTTTTCATAATGTTCTTCGAAAACTGTAGCAAAGAGGCCCATTCTTCTTTTGGATAAAAAAGTTTTTTTTCTTTTAACAAAAACTGTCAAAAAAAGCTTTAGGCTTTTTTTCTGGACCCCTTCTTTGACTTGACTTTCCGTTTAAAAACCAGAGCTTTACAAAACATAGAAAGATGCAACACTGAACCCAACATAAAAAACAGGAGGAATCTTTAGATCTTTTTCTTTACGCTGTTTAGCTGCACTGGTGTTTCCCAAAACTGGGAATGATGGGAATGGAGAGGCAGTACTGGGAATCCTGGACGGCAATCTAAAAGGTTACTCCGCTGTCCTTTGGTTCCTTCAACAGCTAGAGTGGTTCAGTGGAGCTCAGGGGGGCGGGGCAACAACAGGGGCGGAGCTTGACGGACAGTTGCAATTTTGAGCTGAAGAAAACCAAATGCATGCAAAATGATGCCCCTCTCCCCTTTCTCTGGCTAAAGGCAGCAGTGCCTGTTGGCGTGGAGCGCCGTGATGTCGGCGGAGAACGCTCAGTCGGTAAATCTCTGGCAGGCCTTTTTCCAGCGGCAGGCCGTGCACCACATGTCGCGGTTCTCCATCCCGTACACCTTACGGCACTTCTTCCCTTCACCACGAACTTTCCGACTGGGGAGGAGAGGTGGAGAATAACATATGAAATGGTCATGATGGAGAAGACTGGAAATTATTATCGGTTTTAACTATTAACAAGAGCACAAGCACTAGCAGCAAACATGCAGAAACGTGTGGAAAAAACATTCCGCAGCCACACAGCAAAACACATGTTAAAGATTCCATTAAAAAATATCCAAATAAAGAGACAGATGCACAAATAGTTGAACATTTTGGGAAAGATGCTTATTTGCTTCCTTGCAGCGAGCTAGATGAGAAGATCGATACCTTTGGACAGAGCCAGGGTAGCTGTTTACAGAAGTGAAGGATAGTTAATCGGTTGGCCAATTAATCTGGCCGATATCTGGCATTTTGAGATAATCGGCATCAGCCCTCGCCTTCACTCTCAAGGCCTATATAAAGAAAATGTTTGCAGTATAGCTGCTGTGGAACAATGTATGCGCTCCCCCTTGTGAATTTTGGGAAGATGGTGAAAAAGTTTCGTTCATCCCAAATGATAGCTAATCTAATCTAAAACCATTACTGGCTAGAGTTATATCATAGAGAATAATGAAGTTAAATGACGTCACTGAAAACTGTACCCCTGCATGGAATAATGGAATAATGTATGACATTTCTTTGCTTTGCTATCGGCATTATATAACGGCCGCCCTGCACTCTAAATATCGGCAAAAGCCCATATCGGTCGACTCACTAGTTACTTGTTTTCAGTCATTTTGCTATGCTAAGCTAACTGTCTATTTCTCAAAATGTCAAACAATTCCTCTAAGTATGGCCCTGGTGTTTTTCACAGGAACATTGTCTTTTCTAATTGTGGCTCAACCATCATCGACAGGTAACAATGACCCTCCAATATGCATTACTATCGCCCTCTCTTGATAATTCACTTTAGCTCTGATTAAGTCCAGCAGTGATCATTTGTGTCTTAATGTGGTAAACAGGAGACACCACATAAATCGTAACGTTTAAAACAGCTTGGTTTCTTATTAAGGTGCATTAGGCAAATCAGAGGCTGACCTGAACCGACTTATCATGTCTTCTTTTTAATTAAGAGTCAGTGACCTGATTTGTGAGAGTCAATATCCCATTTTTCATCTTTTACCACATGATTTAGACCCAAGGTTTAATAGTAAGGTTTAATTCAAATCATCTTGGTAATCTAATATGTGCTTTTAACTTGTTAGGCCTTTCATTAAAGCTAAAAAGGAAATGTCAGATAAGACTCAGCGGGCAGTGAAGATCCAGTACCTGAGGGCAGTGGTGGCTCTGGGAGGGGACGAGAGGACAGCGATGGTTTGTGAGCGTTGTTCACCGAAGCCCTGGCTTTTGCTGGGAGACACCTGAAGAGGGCAGACAAATCTGTGACTTTAAGAACCCAAACTGAGCTGTGTACGTAGCTGAGAATAAATGCTTGGCCTTGCATGTGCAGTGCAAGTTTCCTCACCGTGTTCCCAGTGAAAGTGACGGGCGGTGACTGCCAGGAGATGCTAAAGCTGGAGCTATTGGTGGGAGTGAAGCTTGTGGAGGCCAAGGTGGCCGAGTTACTGCTGCTAGACGGGATGGACACTGGAGCTGTAGCCTGGGGGCAGAGGTCAAAGGTCAAAATGGTAGTATTTTCAACCCAAATGGAACAATATATGCGGAACAGCAGGATTTCTATGGCCTCCCCAAAGCATCGGTCATTCATTAAGCCCTGACTTCCAAGTTACGTTTGGCCTTTTCATGTGCTTTTAATAGCTGCTTAGTTTGCTTTTTTCTTTCGATGAAAACTGTGTTTCAAATAAAATGTAATATTTTTATTATTGGTGAGGCTGAAAAGTAAACCTGGAGCTCTGTGCAATAGTATCCAGGGTTGAAAAATAGTCATGTCCTTTTAAAATAACATGTGAGCCTCAAACTTATCCCATCCTTAAAAGAAATTACTTTTGTTTTTTGCAGTAAAGATCTCAAGAAGATGTTTCGAGAGCAGTATTTCAAGTCGTAAAACCTCTTAAATTAAACAACTCATGTTGGTGGTAAAACATGTAGCTATACACATGTAGTGGTGACATTAATGTCAGGATCACAGATTAATATGATTGGTTAAGTTGGTTAAAATTGATGGATTGTGTTTTTATTCCAATTACTTGTTCAAACCTACTGCTGTGTGTTGATATACGACAACTGTTAACACAGCTGCTAACGGGGCCACAAGTCGCTGTGACATCATCCCTGCTTTTGTGAGCTGTGTGACACATGATCAGGACAATGAGGCTCCTAATAGTAATGTGTGGGAGAAAATGTGCGTTGTGTGTGTGCATGGCCTGATAAATGTGCTGTGGTGTGTATTGATCTAGAGAGTGCATGGATCCTGTATCTTCGTGTTGAGTTTGGCCGTGTGTGTGTGTTGTACATTGATCTTAATCTTGCCTGTGTCAGGGTGGGGGCGTTTATGTGTACATGTGCACACTTCCTCTGCTTTCTGCGGCCGCTCACCTGGTAGGCGTGGTCCGTGTGGACGAGGTAGAGTGCGCTGGGCGCAGAGCGGCTGAGCGGAGTGGTGCCGCCAGCATGAGGCTCCTTGGTGTCAGAGGACTGCGGAGGTCCGTGGGAGTCCGGCAGCTGGCTGAGAGAAGAGAGAGGAGAGGGGGGAGGAGGAGGGGGAGAAAGGACGGACGGGGACACTGGGGACAGGCTGCTCAGCCCATCGGCAACTGAGTCCGTGTTGAGCTTGATCTCCGTGTAATAGAAGTCCTCCTCACCATCACTGCAGTCCGAGTCACAGTTACGCCTAAAAACAGACGAAAACGATTAGGGGTGATGGAACGAGGATGGTCAGAGAGAAATAAAGACACATTTCACTACGAATGCTGATTACTCTACATGAACAGTGTAAAGCAAATAGTGTTCAATGCAATCACTCGATCAACCAACAAAACACCATCATCTGCAGTTAATAAGTGAAAGACAGACTGTCCTCTGTTTAACTGAATGTCAGTATAAATGTGTGATTTATCCAGTATCATTGTTCTTCGTCTTGCTCATTTTCCTTTCACCTGGCTCCTCCCCGCTTGCACCCAGAGCTGGAAGTGTTACCGTGGCGATAATCCATCAACCGTTAATATGCTGCTTTCACAACGAAGCTAGTTGGAGGGGTCAGAGAGAAAGTGACTCGAAAGGTGTTATGGAGGCTTGTAGCCAAGCTATGCAGTGTGTGTGTGTGTGTGTGTGTGTCATACCCCAGGTGGATGGTGCGGATGTGTCTCTGGATGCCGGCAGCGGTACTCAGCACCTTGCCACAGTTCTTCCACAGGCACTTGAACATCACCTTCATGGAGTTCTGCAGAATACACACAAAGTACAGCAGCTGTAGTCAGAAAACACAGAGGCTCACACGTTTTCATGTCAACAGAAGGACCTGTGGTTGGTTTTTGGCAAAAAGAGCAACATTTGCTGTCAAGTCATGACTCCTTATACAGTATAATGCTTGGTTGATGCTCTCATACGAAACAGCATTCCTCTACAACCACAGGGTAAATACACTGAACAAAATTATAAACGTATAAAATGTAGTGACACCTGGATTCCACCGGAGACAGCTGTATAACGTTGAGTGTGCGTCCCGGCTCTGCAAGGCTTTATACCCCACAGGGAGTGTTTCAGAAGCAGAACATTTTGCCTGCCTGATTTTGCTGACTTGTTAAGATTTTGTTGATATGGTCATTTGTCCTTGATTTTTCCACCATCAGTAATTAGGCTAGGTAGTTAAATGGTTGCTTTATTGTCTGTTTTAATTGTGTTTATTGTTGATATAACAACAAATTATAGTATTTAGATTAGATTGTTTTATTAGTCACACGACAGATGCCGGTGGAATTTGGTTTTGGTACAGTATGTTAAACTCTGCATCATGTACATACAACAAATGGACAATAGTAGACACTCCGCATAACATTCTGTAACAATACAAGAATACATTTGGTGAATGGCCATGCCAGTAGTGTGTGAGGAGGCGACTAGAGGGACGAGTTTTAAGTCCTGACGGCTATGGTGAAAAAGTTTGTGAAGTGTTTGGTCTTGGTGGAAAGTGTTTTGAAAGTATTTGATGAAAATTAGCCTGTTGAGCTAACTCTGGCTCATTTACAGTTACTTTGCTTTTGATTAATGAGCACTGTCCCTGTCAAATAAATGAAAGAAATGAAATATGCAATCAGGAGTCTACTCTACACAGGGTGTTTTATTTTGAAAATTTATTGATTTCTCTCTGCCATTTCTGTGTCTGACTTCCTGCGCGGAACGATCTGCTCCGTGCAGCTTGATGTGGCTTCCGTCAAAAATAGACTCGCCACGTATTTTCTGCAGAGCAGAGCAGAGAGCAGCTTCTGGGAGACTCCTGAAACCCCCTGCAGTGCATCACAAGCACTGTCTAGAAGGGTTAAGTTCAGCTCCAGCGGCCACGTCTCAGACAGAAGGCGACGCAGCCGTGCCCGGTGGAATCCAGCCGTCACGCATTCAATTAATCTCTATATTAGAGAACCCTCCAACTATCCACAGGTACATCATTTGCAGGTTTCTCTAATGTTTTTTCTGGCATTTTATTTTTGAAAGCACAGTAGAAAACAATGAAGGGAGAAAGAGAAGAGAGACAGCGTGGAACAAAGATTCTGGGAGTGTTGAAATTACAGCGTCAGCATCTTCAATCTCTAGGCTACCAGGACACCCTGTACTTTGTGTTGCGTTAATAAAGGTAAATTTTTTGGGAATAAACTCACTACTCATTAGTTAATTCATTGCCTTTTCATTTTCAAATCTGAAATCTAATCTGTTTTTAATTGATATATTATGATATTTTATATATATTATATATTATTATGATAACTACATTTCTCTCTGGTTGTGAGCAAGTGAGGCTGCTGTATCTTTTATTCATCAACTGTAATTACACCACCGGCCTCCAAGAGAGACTGTACATTGTTCTTCATGGAGAAAAAAACCCCATGAGCTTTCTCCCTGCCCTCCTGCCTCCCCACTCTGAGCCATTATAAATGGTCTTATAGGCCTGTCTATCAAACTATTGTTTAGAGGGCTGATTTAATTTTGACAAGATGTTTTTTTTTTTCTTACCTCCTTTCAAAAAAGCATACACACACACACACACACACACAACAATCATCGGTCCCCCGTGCATTGTTTTGTCTTTGGGGGAGAAAAGCCTGTTTTGTGTGTCAGTGAGTGTGTGTGTGTGAGTGTTAATTAAATGGTGAGCTTCAAACAGTGTTGTCTTGTCAAGAGATAAGCGAGAGCACAAGGGGAGTGTTTAGATAATTTCATGTGAAACCTTGGCATTGCACACATAGCTCATGTGTGTGTTTATGTAAGTCAGCTACATTGTAATCGAAGCTTTTAGAAAATCTGTTTCTCTCTCCACCATTCTTCATTCTCCTTCCTGTTAGTCCCGCTTTAATTCTTCATCCATAACCTTCCTTTCTCTTCCTCCTCTTTTTACCCACTCCTAAATGTCTTTCTCTCTGTCTCGTTGCCCTTCTTTGTGAACATCCCCAATGAATACAGTGCGGTGATGTGGCGCTCGCCCAAGAGTCTTTATCGATTTTTCCATGAGATGATGAGAAGACGGCAGGATCTTTATGTTTGCTATAGTCAGTATTAAAATCATTACTGCCGTTAATGTGAAGACTAAGAGGTAATTATGAAAGGCAAATGTCTGGGGAGGACACGCACATAAAGAGTGAGGGGAGAGGGGAGAAAACACGGCTGAGCGCAGGAGAGAAAGTGGGGAAGAGAGTGAAAGGAGGGATGATACTTAACAGTGAATGACAAACCAACAAGCAGGAGAGAGAGCAAAGCAATATACATTACGGATGTGATGAGCTGTCAGCAGTGTGTAGAAATGAGACGAGCTAAAATGATAAGTGAGAAAGAAACTGTGTGTGTGTGTGTGTGTGTGTGTGTGTGTGTGTGTGTGTGTGTGTTGTGCATCTGGGCAGCAAAGGCAGACCTATCACTGGACGCAAAAGGCTGCGTGTCCTTTCCTGTCCCAGTTCCATCTCTGCCAAGTCAGTCAGAGTCTACAAAAACCTCTGCATGAGCAGATACATCTTAATCTGCATTGAAGTGTGAACAGGAGAGTTTTTAAGATACAAGTTAAGAAGACAACTTTCAGTTGCCCATAACTTTCTCTGTGAATTACACTATTTTTTGTCATGGTGTGGTCTTTGTTAAGAGGAATCTTAATGCGACAGCATACAATTTTAGACAATAGTTCTTCTAGCAGTCTGTGTGTGGCCTATTTCTGTTTCAATATGACAATGCACCTATGCACAAAGCCAGCTCCAGTTCCCAGTTTGATGTGGAAGAATTTAAAAACGTGTGCAAACTTGATATCACCAGCAAATTAGCACGTAAGCTAACGGTGTGCACGCAGAGTGACGTCTTTCAAAAGCGCAAGATAGCGCCTGTTGTTCCTTTAGTACTTTTGCCTTAATGAATATGCAATTTACGTTTGAGAGGAGTGCAAACCGCCAAGTGTTACGCAGAGATGGCTTCTGTTATTGTTGCCAGAAGGAGACACAGCCGTAATGAAAGAAAATGTAAAGAAATTAACAATATTGGATAGTATTGTTCTAATATATAGAAATACAATTATTTTATTTTATTTATTTGATGAACTATATGAAAATAATTTTTTTTTGTATTTTCCTTTAGCCTTGACAATACTGTTGTATTAACATTCATATCAATATAGCAAATTCTGTTCTTCTTTTCTCCGTGAGAGGGAAGAATTTAGAAAGTTGCGTGGCGCTGCGGAGAGCCCCCAGCTGCAGTAGTGCATAGATCATGTGTAAAATTCGTCCAGCCAGAGGGAATGAACACCAACTGTTCACAGCGTGCCTGATTGTAGGTATCGAAGAGGAAACGGGGCGTTGGGGCAGACATTTAAACCCTCATTTAAATACTCCCTCCTCCATTGTGTTTGTCCTGTTGTCATCTACGCAATAATTCTTAGTAAATCACCCATAACAGGTACTAAAATTGCACGTGCAATATTTTAGAATGCACATGCAATTTAGCACTCTTTATTCGGGATGTTGGTAAATCGGGCCCTAAGTGATCATGAAGACCAGGAGTGGACAGTACGGAGGTTTAACCAGCTGAGTTTTAGTGGAGTAAGTGGACTTGACTGTCTGTTCCACTTTTTACCAAAAGCAGACCAGGCCTTTCCTTTAACCCTTTTAACACAAATGTGTATTTTCACCTTGCGCTTGCGAGGGATGGGCTCATCGAAGAGAAGGCTGCTGCCGTCCTGCTCGTCTAAGCTCGGGTCCTCAGGCCCTGCAGGCCCGGGTCCCACGCCGCCCAGACTGGGCACACGGAAGGGCTTGAAGCTGTCGGCGGAGAGCGGTGGAGAAGGTGTAGAAGGGTTGGACTGGTCACTGGGGGCAGACCAGCTCCAGTAACCCCCTGAAGAGCTGTTGCTGGATGGGGTGAAGGGGCCAGTTAAGCCGTTGTCCTTCCAGGAACCGCTCAGACCTTCTAGGAAGACGGAGGTGAATCGAATGGGGAGAGGGTGGAGGGGAGGGGAGAAAGAAGGAGAACATAAGAGAGAGGATGGGAGTGTGAGGAAGAAAGTTAGAGCATGACACATCTAACCATTAATCCAGCTACATCAGTCATATTTGTAGATGATACAACCACAACAAAACGTGTGGACATTTCTCTGTCAATGATGGGAGATCAAGACATTCAATTAAGGTCAGACAGCTTTATTTGCACTTCATACACAGCACTCAACACTATCGACTGTGACACAAGAAAATAAAGGTTACTTTCTTGTTCTACGATTCCGCTGAGACGCTTTTTTTTTAGATCAAAGAAATGGTTTTTTTGAATATAGGCTACAAAAGGCATTTCACTTTGTGAGTGTGTACATAAGTGTTTATGAGAATGTATACATGTTTTCAGGTGTGTTTGTGTGTGTTTAAGATCAGAGAGAGTAAGAGTTGAAAGATGTTTGTTTGGTTTAGTGTGGCTTCTTCTCCCCTCAGCCTACCTTTTTTCTTTATTACGTTTCACAGATAACAGAAAGTGGATGACCAGTAATAAGAAAGCAGCATTTGGTTTTGTGGTACAGAAAAGCAAATATTATGATTGAGTTAAGTAATAATATGAAGATTTTTTTTAAATGTCAAAGCAAACACAGCGTTAGGTATCACCGCAATGTGCACTATGCGTGAGTAAATGCACATTGTATGATCTCCAACACATGGGTGTGACATCTGTAATACTGCATTATTATAAACCTCTAGAGTTGGTATTTAAAATCCACTTTGTGCATGTATGCATGATATATGTGATGTACATTTAACATCTGACCGCACGTGTATGTGACCATGATAGCACGTGCATGGTGGTTGGAGGGTTGGCTGCAGGTCTGATTGGTTGAACGGGCAGTCGGTTGGTTGCACCGACTATCTAAGTGGTTGCATGTGATTGCAGTTATGGGGGAACTCTGGATTTCCGCCACTGTGTCGAGTGGCAGAGATCCAGACTCACTGTGCTTCTCTGTGGCTTTGCAGAACTCATTGATGAGAGAACCCTAAAGCACAGCAGGTGGCAGTAATTTATCAAGTAAGCTTCCATTCCACATGCATTCACAAGATAACAGCTGTGAGGGAATAAAAAGTCAGTGTACAGCAGAACATACAAATTAAGGGCTGAGGCTGAGCTACATGTAATTTTTCACAACAAATCTGTTTTATTAAAGATAGGAAGGTGGGACTGATAAAAAGCCGAAGATTTATTTGTCAAACTGCACTGTCAAAAGGACATCCTACTTAATTAGTTGTTTAAAAGTTGTGATTCTCACCGTTGACTTTTACAGGTGGACTCCTGACCAGCGGGCTGGTGGAGAGACTCGTCAGCACCATGGCAGCCGTCACCTTGTCCATGTCCACTTCCTCCTCCGACCGCCTGTCAAAACACAACAGCAACAAAAGCAAAAAGAGGATTTTACTGAGCATCTTCTGCTCCCATTATACTGAATAATTACACATTCAAAAAGACACAGTAACCCTTATGTTATTTTAAGATGAGAAACTCAAGGCACTGTATACTGTGTTTTTCGCATGCAAATGTTAACAGGCCACAATACACACACACCATACACACATAGCTGTGTAGAACACAGTCAATGTTTTCATTTCCCTCAGCAAGATGTTTTAAAAAAAGGACAAAAATCAGGCCTTCTGGTATTAAAGTCACTCCGCATTGCATTCTGCTGCAATGAATGCAATAGAAGCTGCTAATTACATTTAAGTTTGTTTTCTTGTCCTTTGTGGGTAACTGATGCAATCGCCCAGACACCATTGGAAAAATCAACAGCCAACAGCTGAAATGCTACTGTACACAATCAAAATAAAAAAAAGATAAATGTACAACTAAACTATACTGATGTGGGTCTTGTATTCAATCCCTAAAGCCTGTAACATAAGCAGTATACACACTAGCCAATCCATATAACAGACTATAACCACACACACAACATGCATTTGTCTCTTTTAATTGGCGCCCAGCTAACATGCACTAGAAGACAGGAGTCTTAATCCTCTCGCATGTATCCTTGAGAGACGCAATCCCTGCGATCAAAGAGATGTCAATAGTTTTATTACTGACAGTATACCTATGGTACATGCTCACTATCAACGTAACAAGCAGTGTGTGTGTGTGTGTGTGCGTGCGTGTGTGTGCGTGCGTGCGTGTGTGTGCGTGCGTGTGTGTGCGTGTGTTTTGTTACTCAGCAAGCGAGACTTTGATGGTGTGCGGAAGCTAAATGATCAAAGTCAATTCTATTATAATGACGAAATCTCCATGCTGTCTTGGAAGAACATGACATCAGCCATCACCAAGTTTTCCCAGCGACCGAGATCAAATGGTACGTTACATCTTAACTGGTACACATCCAGCACTGGCAACAAACTGCTGAAGTAAACAACCCGTCTTTTAACTTTCCCTAATACCTGTCAAACAACAAATAAACACCCACTTAGTAGTGAGAGGACAGAGGATTGTATAACTTGTACAAAACATGTGGGATGATGCAACATTTATTCTCCTGCATCAGCACGTATGTCTGTACTGAACACTCGTCTGCTGGTTGAACTGGTCACATCAATGCATTTTGGTCTGATCGTGGCAAATTTCAATTAGATTCTTAACATCGAGAACAATATTTATGTGATGAAAACATTTTTGACACAAATAATTAAAAAAAGTCAATGAGAAGATGCAAACAGATGTGGATTTTCTCTGCATGGTTCAAGTTGAGGCAAAGATTAATCTGCTGGGGGTGAAAGTGTTTTAACTACAGCTAAGAATTTACATTTATCCTGAGTTGTATGATTCATGAACAGTAACAACAAAAAAGAGGTAACAAAGAATATAAGAGGATTTGGATTTCCTGGTAAATTGATTACACATCTGTACAGACTGTCTCTCTTTAATGTGCACAGCAAAAACAATTTGCTCAAATAAAGCATTGAATGCGTTGAATATAAACGCCCACTGAGATAAAAGTTGTGGGCAGAATAAATCTATCAGCTCCCAAATGGTGTCCTCCCATTTCAATGACATTCCAGCTTAAACATAATTCAATAAAAAAAACAATAAAATAATATAATAACCAGGAAAGCCACCAAGAAAGAAACCACAAAGCCAAGGACCATAGAGTCTGTCACAAGAGGACTTTGGCTGTGATCACTACAAGCTGTATCTGTGTTGTAAAGCAGAAAAAACAACCTATGACCGCACACAAACTAATGCAAAAGGTTAAAAGCAAAAAGGATTAAATTAAATTAATATTGAGCTCCTCAGTCGTGTTGCCGATTACTGTCTGGTGGAACATCCCACTGCAAAGCACGACAGGGGAACTGGGAGACTGACAAAGACAAGTGATATGTAATGACTTTCCCTGCCCCTTTAACTGGAGCAACAATTTACATCCTAACAGGACCTGACCCGCAGCGTACTGTACAACCAAAACCAACAGTGGAGAAGCTTAAGAACAACAGTGTTGCCTAGTCGAAGCCCAGACATGACTTCCAATGTATTTTTAGAATGGCTTTAAGGCACAGATGCTCCCTATCCACGTTAACCGAGCTTAAGTAAATCCAGAAAAAAGAAAGTCCCAAAATCCAGATGTGCCAGACTAACACAGATGTGTTTAAGATGACTTAGAGGGCTCAAAGCTGCCAAAAGTTATGGGTCATGTTTTATCTAACCCACTTTGAATGTAGCCATGAGAGATTCTGTAGAGAATAAAAGCCAGGGAAGCTCTTACTGGTGTTGTACTGGGAACACTTCTTGACACAAGTTGCCACCTACATTTTTATACAGTGTTCATTGTTTGTACTGTAATGAGTAACTGACAGAGTGGCAAGTCAATCCAAGAGCTGATATGCACAAACTAACTGCCAAACAGCCTGTTTGTGTGCTGATGATGAGACAATATTCATTACAAATGGGTTTATTGTGGTCTTAATAGATGAAGCAACCAATTTAACATTAACCAACAGTGTTTCCACTGCTCAAAACATCATGGATGCCTGATCACTACCACACAGGTTTCTTTTATATTTCTGTGCAACTCCACACAAACTTGATGGTGTTGTTGACGGTAGTGCAGCTGTGTGTTTCTCCAGATGCAGTCAGTAAGGCCATGTTTTTGGCTCCTAGTGCCTGGTGAGGGCATGTGTTAGCAACTACAACTTAAAGAAGCTAACCGAACAAAGGGGGATTTCCAATGTGCTTTTCTAAATAAAACCAGACTTATTTTTGGGACATATCGGTTTCATAAGGTTTAAAGAGAACACAGAGCAATTCTGCACAAGTTTGATAAAAAAAGAAGTGTAGTTCACAAATTAATGCATCAATCAGTTTATACAAACACAAGACTAAGGGTCTGACATTTGTGTAAAATTGATTTATCTGTAATAGAACTGTGATCTAACCAAAATATTACACCACATATGTAAAATAGAAAAACATTCACACATTTTAACATCCATCTGAATGATCAGAGCCATGGAGCAATTAGTTTTGTTTGTGCACAACAGCACTGTAACTTTGCATCATAGTTACTATTGTTATGAACACACACTTATCAGTAATTTCATTATGAATAAATTACAGTTTCCACATTAATGTGGAAGCTATTAAAAGTGTATTTACTTCACAAGCAAAATGGAGAGATGTGAGAGGAGAAGAGTGTTAGCTAACAAAGAAAGAGCCTCAGCCTCCATTAGCTTACGTTTAATTTATTACCCTACACTGTTGAATATGATGTCATTACAGCCTCCACATAAATCAACAAATGAAGCTACACACACAACTGCCATTTTTACCCATAACCCCCCACCCAGTGTCGCCATAAAACCACTTCCTGGTCACCTTGGGAGGCCGTCATATGACTGTAGATATTATCTCCAAGGCAACCGTGACAGACAATAATTACTGGGTGCTTTGTCTATCTTGATAGATGAAAGAGTAAATCTCAGAAAAACACATTAGGAGGAGTAATAATTAAGATGTGATGTATGAGAGGGCGAGAAAGAGAGGGCGGAAAAGGGTATTTCCCAAATCGCATTTGCCATTAGTGGTCTTATCAAAGTTAGTCTTCGTCCAAATGCTTATTATTACTATAATTAACACACACAGAGTGTGTATGTGTGTGTTAAAGAGAGGCATGTTCAAATGTACGATAAACGTGGCCCAGGAGACGTGGTGGGATGGCTAATGGATTGGTAAGTGAATTCTGATAAATGAGTTTCATATGTTGGTGTATTTGTGTCTCTTATGTGCTCTTGTGTTTTAATATTCTGACTTCACTAACTTCCTCCAATATCTGACCCCTGAGGTGATCTGAAAGGAACAATAGCATGGATGTACTGCGAGAAAGTTAAGAGCTTGTTTACTAATGCAGCTGACATGAAATAAATCTATGTAATTTTCTTAATCTTATCTTAATAATCTTACTGGCTATTCATAAATGGAAAATTAGTTTATCATTAGGGGCCAAACAATCATATTTCTGTAGATGCTGCTATTGTTGTAAAAATCTTTAAATGACCTGAAAAAGGTCAGTGACTCTATATATTCTGCGCCACACTTTATTTTAAAGTTACCAGATTAGCATGTTGTTTTCTTTCTTCCAAAAAACGTGGACACTGAGTCCATATTTAAATGCTAATTAGGAAAATAGCTTTTTAATTACAAACGATAAAACTAATAGAAATATTAAGACAACTACGGCTGCAACTAATGATTATTTTCATTGTTGATTAATCTACCTATTATTTTCTCAATTAATTGATTTATTGCTTTGGTCTGTAAAATGTTGGAAAGTAGTGAAAAAGCTCCAACGCAATTTCCTAATTTCCTAATGACATGTTTTGTTCTACCACTGTTTGTGTGTGTTATATATCTGCACCTACACGCGCGCACTCTCGTGCAAGGGTTCCTGTATAGGGTTATATTTGAAAATAACGTACTCCTTGAGACTCCAAAAATATATATTCATAGAAAGGTGAAGCTCTGACATGTCTATATTAGTGCAGTAAAGTGATTGGATTCATATACACACACCTACCAACTACCATCCCTTTTTTTGTTTTTTGTTTAAATTTTTAAATTTAATTTTTATTTATTATAGTTTAATTAAACAGCTGAAATTGGGAACCATCAGGTAAAATTGTGAATGATCATTAATGTTGCTGAAACTGAATTCTTTTAAATTTAAGATACACTTCTGTCAATTGACCTACTGATTTAATAACTGATCGTGTCAGCTCTAAAGAAAATCCCACCAGAAGGCAATACACTCCTATATATTAAAACTGCATTCCCATTATAGAGTTAATATGGCCTGGTGTTTCAGGCCTCTGCCTAAACATGGTGTGGATGAGAAGACTGCCATT